TAATTATAACATATAGCAAAACCCTTAAAAACAGTAAATTTCTACTCGTCCTTATAACACTATATGATACCTTAACTATTGGGCAATTTGGCAAGGGCTACAGGACGAGTGCCAATTTCTGATGCTGTCAGCATGTTTAGGGTATCAATAAGGATCAAGCCTTATGGTCTTCAATCTTTCATTGAAACTCCTCAGACCTGTAAAGATCTGGGGTAGAATAGGCCTTCAGCAACCCATGCTTGCCGTAAAAGGCGACTATGCTTGTCATACGAGGCGAGTAACGGGATCGGGTGGTCAGGCTCGCTGACATGGTTGATGCATGTCATCATATACCTATTATGTGGATTGACGCTCATGATGTCAATCACTGGATTGTCTGGTCCAGACTCGATTATTTACAGAGCGCCGTCATATGGCTGGAATATTGCTGAGTGAGGCGTTCAATAACAAACAAACAAACAAACTGAAACTCCTCATCAATAACAGACATTAAATGTTATTGTAAACATGCAGCATGGTGCCAATTTGGGATACCCAAGTTAGCCTTGGTCTTGGGCTGCATCGATATGGAAGGCCCCGATACATTTATTATTACCAGGTAGGGCTGGTGTATTGGCACATAAACCATATTGTAATCATGGTAATATATCGCAATACGGAGAGCTGTATTGTGATACATACTGCAATACGTATCAGGGCCCAAATTATATATATTTGTACTGTTCTTCATTCAATAATCCAGACTTCAAATTGCGAGAAGGGTAGTATGATTAAACGAGACTACCTATTACATCATCAATATTGAATGTTAATGTAAACAGTGTGAAGCGTCTACTGTTACATGGTTTAGATAGGAACCCTGTCCATCTTAATGCCTCAAGATAGTAGATACAATTTATAGAATTATATAGAATTCTTCTGTCACTGTATTGGAAAATATCAATACACAAGGGTCGTATTGCGATACACGTATTGTTGACGGACGTTTTGCAATACACCGGTATGCCAGTAATATTGCACACCCCTAGTATTAGGTGTGCCCCAAACGATATAAGTGTGCCAATGTTTATCATGACATGCTCATTGAATAATTCTTGGCATATATTTCAAATAATACCTGGAACATCTTTATTTCTGTCACACAAATAAGCCAAGATTTATACTGAGTAACCATGAAAGCACATGTCAACTTTTAACATGTTTAACTTGAAATAAGAAAATATGACTTTTTCTGCTTAATTCCATCTCCAAACACATTGAATGAGATCTGAACCTATTATAGTATAGATAAGACGACATGGTTGTGTCATCTTCCCAAGGCAAGGGAGTTTCACGGACTATAATAGTCCAGTTTCCACCCTTGCCGAACTAGGCTGGAATTAAGGAGTTTTATATGGCTGGACTAACAAGTCTATGCATAGTCAAATCAAAATCGAAATGCGGTTCAAAGAGTACATGGTGACAGCTATGCAGATTTTGGTCGATTGCAGAATTTGGTGAGCATGTTTACTATGTTTACCGTAAACTGGGCGTCAACAGATATTTTTCAAATCTTTTCAAGTTTTTAATCAAGGTGCTCAAGTTGTGATGCAATTTGTGAGATAAGACCTGTTTTATTACAATAAAGATGTTGATAATTGCCATTGCAGGGATAATTCTAGGTTGGAACCTTGTGCATTTAGCTCCTAAATTTAAAAAAAGACCGACATTTTCAAATACAATGGGGCATTTTTTAACACTGTGCTGTATGGGCAAGTGTGGTGTACCTCTGGAATATTTGAAATTTTCACATAAAGGACCCATGTCAGAAAATTCCTAGAGTGAACCCTGCAAATGATCAGATCATTTTGACTGGGTGCTGCCATTTTATTTGAAGCAAATACAAGTGACATTATAATTTATAAGTGGAATCTGATGGGTGAGTAGGCGGGACATAACTCGTACTAGCCACTGGTGGTGCTACAATTCAGCCGTGAAATTTCAGACAAGTTCAGCAAGGATGGAAACTGGACTTTTACAGTCAGCTAACTCCCTTGCCTCAGGAAGATGTCTTTAAAATAGCTGCCACCAACATGTGTCTTCAGATAGTGAGTGAGTTGGGTTTAACATCGCTTTTAACATTATTCCAGTTATATCGTGTAAGTTATGTCAGCTTAATATGGGGGGAAAGCCCGAAGTGACGCAGGTCTCAGACGTTTACCACTTTGGTGAAACCCACGAGCACCGGTAAGGTGCTGACAACATAGAAACATAATCATAGGTTTCTAGCGTGCCCAAGGGACGCAACTCTGCACAGTGAATGTCTTGAGTGAGATTTTCCTTTAGAACCTACTCTGAAATATCCTGAAAAGGTTTATACAGACATGGAACACTACAATTCAAGGCCTTTTCAAGGCTGCCAACCGTCATTTTCAAGGCTGGGTTATCAGTAGGGCTGCAACGAATACACTATATATGCTATGAGGTGATTACGATTCGTATCATAAATATAGGGTAATGAATATGAATAAAAATTCACGAATACAATAACAAGTCGACAGTTGATGTATTATTTGTTATATTCAGTGAAACAATAACATAAATTATTTGACATGGTTTGTTAATTATTTATATATTAAACACTTATATTCTTCACTTATCAAGGTACTAGTATCTGCTCAAATGTGACAATGATCAGTGACCACAATACTGTCAAATTAAATATCATACATGTTTTAAGAGTGTTGTATTTGAAGAAATCTATGTTCTTATTGATATTTGTAAGTAGGGTATGTAAATGCACATGACTGCATATGCATAAACATTCGATTCTAGTAGCTTGGTTGGTTTGTTGTTTAACGCTGCACTCAGCAATATTCCAGCTACATGACGGCGGTCTGTAAATAATCCAGTCCGGACAAGACAATCCAGTGATTGATATCATGAGTATCAATCCACGCAATTGGGATCAATGACAAGCATCAACCAAGTCAGCAAGCCTGACCACCTGATCCCGTTAGTCGCCTCTTACAACAAGTATTGTCGCCTTTTACAGCATGCATGGGTTGTTGAAGACCTATTCTACCCCGGATCTTCATGGGTCTCGATTCTAGTGGCCACAAATAACAAATTCAATTCATGAATGGATACGGTACGATTCATTGAATACGCGAGAGAATCGTAACAGCCCTAGTTATCAGTCTCAGTCGGTGTATATTTTATAAATCCAGCATACAATATTTTATTATTAGTCTTAGGACCCCAAAAGCAGTACAACCATCACCATGTTCAACAAGATTTATTTTTCACATCTATCACTGTAAAAAATGCCACTTAAACATCATTGGTACATATTTTCGTGTGCCTGAATACTTTAACAAGGCTGTTCAAGCTAATTTGCTGATTTTCAAGGCTTTTCAAGGTTGACACTAAAACTCAAGGCTTTTCAAGAGGGATATTAATATTCAATGCTTTTTCAAACCTGAACGAACTCTTTTATAGTCAAGATGTCTCCACACTCGCGATATGTATCGTATTATGATCTTGCTGTTTTGTTTCACCCCTATTTGTTAGAAATGTTTTGCAAAACAAAGTATGCAACTTTAGTCACTTTTGTGAAGACAGATTCGAGTAAAATCCTGTTCGATATAGCTAGCTCAGTCAACAATTGCCAAAATAACAACAACAAAAACTACAGAAAATGACACAAGGATCCATAGCTTTTTAAAAATAATACACAGATCATGCAGATAATGTATTTGTTTTTAGTTATGTGACAAATATGTTCATATACAGAAGAGGAAACCCAAGTCAATGTATACTAGGTATACATTGTGACAAATAGGGGATGCGGTGAATTCATAGACACGGACAGCTTGGAGACAAACGCATTGGGTTTTTTGCCAAGCTTGGTTTTTTTTGTTTTTTGTTTAACACCGCACTCAGCAATATTCCAGCTATATGACGGTGGTCTGTAAAATAATCAAGTCTGGACCAGACAATCAAAGTGATTGACATCATGAGCATGTTTTTTGCAAAGCGAGCATATGATTGGCTGCGTAACTTCCTAAACACATGCCAAACATGCTAAATGAAGGACAAATTTTCATTGGTTGAAAGCTTAGGCCTCTGGGTGTTTTCTTTTGCAAGTTATTTTGTGAATAAAGTGTTAAACAAAAAATATGGTAAGTATTGGTATTTCTTTTGCAGGAATGTTTGTAAATATTTTTATATCAATAATCCGGTAAGTATAACCAAGCTGAGGAGGAAAACAGGATTATTCGACAAACTGATAAGTGGCGAGTGAAATAGGTGATTATTGTACTACTCTTTTGTTTTGAAAGGATTAGCAGAGTCCTTGTAAATACCACGATAAATAAATAATCGGGAAAATATATCCAAGGAGAAAGGAAAAGGCAATAACAATAATACCTATTGTCCATTAAAATTTCAAGACTTGAAATATATTTGCCACATAATAATGCAATATGTAGATGATGTCTTTGTAATAAATTAATATTTAAGTCTATTTCCCAACTATATTTCTTTGGTCAACGAGTTCACCCTGAAGTTTGCATACAAATTCTCCATGTCTACAAATGTCCTTTTAGTTTGGCTACATGTAAGAAAGTAAGTAATGGCAGTAATTTCTTGGTTTGGTTTGTTATTTTACGCCGCACTCAGCAATATTTAACCTATACGACAGCGGTCTCTAAATAATCATGTCTGGACCAGACAATCCAGTGATTGATATCATGAGCATCAATCTACACAATTGGGATACGATGACAGGCATCAACCAAGTCAGCAAGCTTGACCACCCAATCCTGTTAGTCGCCTCTTACGACAAGCATAGTCGACTCTTACGACAAGCATAGTCGCCTTATTACGGAAAGCATGGGTTGTTGAAGACCTATTCTACCCCGGATCTTCATGGGTCATGTAATTACTAAATATTACTGTGGAACACCAGTGTCTACTCCTTGCTTCCACAACTTTATCATAAACCTGCCGCACTATACCTGCAGCAAACTTCATTAGGGTCCACCCAAAGTGTCATCTCTATGGGCAGCAACGGTTCCTGGAGACTGATGCCGGACACATAAGCAGCCCTCTCCAAGACTGGATCCACAGGTTCTGCTGGGCTAAATGTAATGCACCGATATCCTTGTCCTCTTGTTGGCTTTTCCTTGTACCAATGGTCCCGGAATCGGTCAATCAACACTGATGACAGACACTTAATAAATATTTCCAATTTTCCAGTGGGAAGAGACTCGCATTTCTGCATTAGTCTTTTCAGAAAGACAACAGCTGCCGCTATTTCCTCTCTCATTGTTCAGTTTGTTAGTGTCTGCGTCCTCTAGTTCAGACATGCAGACCACAAGAGTGCACTCACTGGCAACAAACAATTCCCACCAATATCCTCGTGTTGGCCTGGTTGTGTTTGTAAACAATGAGTCTGTTTACAACTTGTTATGACAAGGTCAGTTCGTCTGAACAAAATCCGGTCCTGTATCCTGTCAAATCGGAACGAAAAAAGGAGTTTAGTGTTATAAAATACAAGGACTCATTGGTATTCAAGTAAACTCATCTACAAGCCATGACTCAATTCCAGAAATTAGCTTCACGAGGTACCAGTGAAGTCTGATCTGGGATCATTCTTATCCCGCCAGAAATAAATTCGACATGACCCTTGTTAACAACACAAGGTCGAAAAACAAGTCAAGTACTGTCAAAATGTGACATTCATTTCATTAAAATGGAGCCTAAATGCAACCTATATTCATTAAACAATGTCAACATGTGCAATGCATGTAGAAACACTCACCGATTTCTGTCTAAACGTCGATTAAAAGCAATATTATTTCGTCTGCACTACTTGCCTTGAGAGGAATGTTTTGCTTGCACGGATAACTAGCCAATCACTAGCGAGGTCACAAAAGTCCGATGAGCGACATCTATCAAGGGAGGTAACAACGACTGCCACTAAAAATAGCTGCTGTGTGGGTGCTGTGATGGCGAATGATTCATCGCACTTGATCTAATTAACAGCAGTTGATAATTTGCAATACACATCTTTTACGGCCCCAGATACGCTGTAGCCATTGAACAAATCTACCGGGAGTTAAAATCAAATGATAGTTATGAAGTTTCTATAAACATGAAAAGAATGTTTGGAAATTATTTGAAGACAAGTCAGTGTTGTGTGAACTTAAATTGATACAGGCCATGTCTATGCATTTTGTCTGGGTATCCGTTCAAGATATATCAGTGCGACCCCGAGTGATACTTGTTCAAATACCCCCCATCCCACCCACCACCCTTGTAAAAAAAAAGTTAACTACGGCCTTGTATATTTGTATACGGATGGTAGGACGGGGGACAATTTGGATTTTCAAGGGCATTGTGACTGCCTCCGTGGTCTAGTGGATAGAACGTTTGCCCTGAGAGCGGAAGATCAGGGGTTCGATTCCTGGCCGCGTCATATCAAAATATGTGAAAAGATGGTAATTGTTGTTACCCTGTCTGACGCTCGGCATTAAGGGGATAAATCAAATCAAATAAATGGTCGGCTCGGAGTCAGTATACTCTGTCTGGGTGGGGTATCCAGTTAAACTGCGGCATGGCATCTCGGTGGGCTTGCACTATATAACTGTACTCCATGACGGGACTCGTGAAGATCCGGGGAAGAATCGGTCATGCTATAGAAAAGGTGATCATGCTAGTCGTAAGAGGTGACTAACGGGATCGGGTGGTCAGTCTTGCTGACTTGGTTGATGCCAACTGCATGGATCGATGCTCATGATATCAATCACTGGATTGTCTGGCCCAGACTCGATTATTTACAGACCGCCGTCATATAGCTGGAATAGTGCTGAGTGCGGCGTTAAACAACAAACAAACCAAACCAAATCATGATGTCAATCACTGGATTGTTTGATCCAGCCTTGATTATTTAGAGACCGCCGTCATATAGCTGAAATATTACTGAGTGCGGCGTTCAATTACAAGCAAACAAACTGTAACTCCTAAACAATAACAGACAATCAATCTTAATATAAACATGCAGCATGGTGCCAGTCAGGGATACCCAAGTTCGTCGTGGTCTGGGGCTGCATCGATATGGAAGGGCACGATACAATACCACAAAATAAACAAACAAAACTTAAGAAAACATATCCCTCCCCACAAAATCGCAAGGACCAATCCGATCTCATCATCCTGAAAATTGACCCGTGAAGATCCAGGGTTAAAATAGATCTTCAGCAACCCATGCTTGCCGTAAAAGGCGACTATGCTTGTCGTAAGAGCTGACTTACGGGATCGGGTGGTCAGGCTCGCTGACTTGGTTGATGCATGTCATCGTATCCCAATCGCGTGGGTCGATGCTCATGTTATCCACCACTGGATTGTCTGGCCCAGACTCGATTATTTACAGACCGCCGTCATATAGCTAGAATATTGCCCAGAGCGGCGTTAAACAAACAACAAACAAACAAACATTCTGAAATGGAGGTATGATAAATAGTGGTGTACAGGGAAACCCCGTTTCCAAAAGACAGGTCTCGATAAACGAATAATTCGCCCAATCAAGTTCATTTCAGCATAGATGTAGGCCATCGGCCATCGACCGACTGTTAGTCTCAGAAATCAAGATATCTTATTTCACAATATATCTTCTAAATAAAAAAATCCAAACGGAACCAAGAGCAATGCTTAATTTCAGAGCTCGGACAATCAAGTCTTGACCAAATCATTCTAGACTTGAGCTGGACATTCTTTATATTTATTCTCTGGGGTCTGGGAGACAGACTTGCCATCGTCCCATGGTAGGGTAATGTACCCACCCACAGTAGTCGTGCTTGTATAGTGTTTAAATTTAAGTTTAAATTTTGACCAAGTGGCTACAAGTATTAATATTTCAAGGTAGCCAGTGGTAAAATCAAGTGAGTGAGTGAGTAAGTTTGGTTTTACGCCGCTTTTAGCAATATTCCAGCAATATCACGGCGGGGAACACCAGAAATGGGCTTCACACATTGTACCCATGTCGGGAATCGAACCCGGGTCTCCGGCGTGACGAGCGAACGCTTTAACCACTAGGCTACCCGACCGCCCCGGTAAAATCAAGAAGTCAAGCCAATATTGTAGGTAGCCAAAAGCATTTGAAATTATCTTTATCAAATAACTATCGTAATATGTACAAGTCATAGCAGAAGACACGAAATTGTATCTTAATGGAAACTGTAATTGTATTTTGTTACTTGTGACTTGAACAATGATCTAATTTATGTTACTAGAATGTATAGGTATATCCTCGCTTATCTAATGAGCATTGTCACCTAAAATAAACTTCTAATTACATTAATTTGTATATATTTTGGTTCATTGTCGACTTTAGGAGGAATTATATGCGAGTACAATTATAAACAGACGTTCAGATCAGCTGTTATTTATTTTTGTGTCTTCAGATGTGTAGCAATAGAATTTAGTGGTCACAAGATATTTTTCTAGGTAGTCATTTGGCTACCTCTGAATTTTAGACTGTAGACAAACTGGTATTGGCGACCGTTTTAGTCACAACTTTGAAGCCAGGACATACATGGCCAGATCTCTAACCAGATCAGCATTTATTTATCACTGGACAAAGCAGTGGTGGGATAAAAGAGATCAGGTTCTATTCTCCAAGGGCTTCTGAGAATATATTTTGGAATGATTTTTTCAGTGAGATTAGGAAAGAATCGTTCGTTCGTTTACTCATTCATTGCTTTTTCGTTTTGTGTTGATATCAATGTTAAGAGAGACATCTCATTCCATGTCGGTTTAAATGAGCAGTTGCCGAGTACAGACTAGTTGTTAGACCGCCGGAATATTGAATTTTGCATTGTCCCATTTTTTTTGTCGATTGGCAAGATCAATATATTGATCAAACCACAAAAGCTTGGTGTTCTAGTTTCTGATAAGGCGAGGTGTATTTATCTATTGTTGTGCATTTCTCTCCATATCCAATTGCAGGTCACAGAAAGTGCTGATAGCTCGGGTCGAGCGTGGCTATTTACGTTACTTTTGCTGAGCTGAGTATGTAAGGTGAGACTAGCGCCGCTTTGAACAGTACTTGTTTCTGTTATATCACGACGTATCAACTGTGAGATGAAATGGGGATTAATATCGCGATCAAGATGACTGGACTTAGATAGCAACGTAGCAACGTGCACGCGTAATTAATGTGGGGAGGACCGTATATGGTGTGTGTGCGTGTGTGTGATTGAGTGTGTGTGTCAGTGTGTGTGTGCTTGTGTGTGCGTGTGCGTATGTGTGTGTGAGAGAGAGTGAGTGTGTGTGTGTCAGTGTGTGCGCGTGCGTATGCGTGTGCGTGTGTGTGGTATAGCCTACGAGCACTGTATTGCGACAACGGGGCGCAGTGTACGGTCTTCTGTATGGTGACAACAACGAGCACTCTATGGCGACACCGACGTGTCTGGTGACACCGACCTGCACTGTTTGGTGACACCGACGAGAAGAGTATGGTGACACCGACGAGTGCTGTATTTTGACACCGACGAGTTCTGTATGGTGACACCGACGAGCGCTGTATGGTGACACCGACGAGTTCTGTATGGTGACACCGACGAGTTCTGTATGGTGACACCGACGAGCAGAGTATGGTGACACCGACGATTTCCGTATGGTGACACCGACGAGTTCTGTATGGTGACACCGACGAGCGCTGTATGGTGACACCGACGAGTTCTGTATAGTGACACCGACAAGCAGAGTATGGTGACACTTACGAGTTCTGTGTGGTGATACCGACGAGCGCTGTATGGTGACACCGACGGGTATGGTGACACAGACGAGCACCGTTTGTTGACACTTACGAGTTCTGTATAGTGACACCGACGAGCAGAGTATGGTGACACTTACGAGTTCCGTGTGGTGACACCGACGAGCGCTGTATGGTGACACCGACGAGTTCTGTATGGTGACACCGACGAGCCCTGTATGGTGACTCTTACGAGTACTGTATAGTGACACCGACGAGCAGAGTATGGTGACACTTACGAGTTCTGTGTGGTGACACCGACGAGTTCTGTATGGTGACTTTTACGAGTTCTGTATAGTGACACCGACGAGCAGAGTATGGTGACACCGGCGAGCGCTGTAGGGTGTCACCGACGGGTATGGTGACACCGACGAGTTCTGTATGGTGACACCGACGATTTCCGTATGGTGACACCGACGAGTTCTGTATATTGACACCGAGGAGTTCTATCAATATCAATGTTAAGAGAGACATCTCATTCCATGTCGGTTTAAATGAGCTGTTGCCGAGTACAGACTAGTTGTTAGACTGCCGGAATATTGAATTTTGCTTTGTCCCATTTTTTTTGTCGATTGGCAAGATCAATATATTGATCAAACCACAAAAGCTTGGTGTTCTAGTTTCTGATAAGGCGAGGAGTATTTTTCTATTGTTGAGCATTTCTCTCCATATCCAATTGTAGGTCACAGAAAGTGCTTTCCAGCCACCAGACTCTTGTGTTTGGCCATTGAATGTTGATGATAGCTCGGGTCGAGCGTGGCTATATACGTTACTTTTGCTGAGCTGAGTGTGTAAGGTGAGACTAGCGCCGCTTTGAACAGTACTTGTTTCTGTTATATCACGACGTATCAACTGTGAGATGAAATGGGGATTAATATCGCGATCAAGATGACTGGACTTAGAAAGCAACGTAGCAACGTGCACGCGTAATTAATGTGGGGAGGACCGTATATGGTGTGTGTGCGTGTGTGTGTGTGATTGAGTGTGTGTGTCAGTGTGTGTGTGCGTGTGCGTATGTGTGTGTGAGAGAGAGAGTGAGTGTGTGTGTGTCAGTGTGTGTGCGTGCGTATGCGTGTGCGTGTGTGAGGTATAGCCAACGAGCACTGTAATGC